GAGTGCACTGATTGACAGGACCAAAAATGAAAACGAAAATATATCAGCCGTTGATTATATGTAAGGTCTACATGATCATGCCGCATGAAAAAATAGTCCGACTTTTAATCCCACAATTGTTGTCCAAAATAATATTGTTTATTTTAAATAAACAAATTATTACACAATTTAAATTACTAAATTATATATAAATTTATTTAATTATCTTTATTTTATAATTTGACTTACATAATTAAAAACCCTATTAAAAATATAATTTTAAATAATATATATTTTTTAAATTTGCTAAGTTTAAATTATTTTACTGCTATTTTCTTCAAAAAAAATAAAAATTATTTATCTTTATTTTATAATTTGACTTACATAATTAAAAACCCTATTAAAAATATAATTTTAAATAATATATATTTTAAATTTGCTAAGTTTAAATTATTTTATTGCTATTTTCTTCAAAAAAAATAAAAATAATTTTAGAATTGGACCACACGGACACGTCAAAAAGTCTGGATGTGATTGTTTGTAGATGCCGTGAAGATAAATTTTTTTTTTTGGTCTCACCGTGAAGATAATTAAATCTAATCTATTGCACGAGACAAGGACAGTTATTAAGCACTAATTATAAAATTTTAAAAATAAAATAAAATAATAAAAAATTTATACATAATATTTATAATTTAAAAAAAGTTAATTTCATAACTTTTAAAATAAAAATTAATAATTATTAATCAATAATTACTCTTATTCTAAGTTATAGGATAGATAAATCTGTAAATTAAAAATGTGATATCATCCAAAAAAATTTTTGTTGGATTTGTTTTTTTTTTTTTCTTTTGCTAGGGGTGAGTATTGCGTGAACTCTGTAACAAACCACCATGCAAAAAACAAAAAGAAGGAACGGGGGCGTGCGGTGGTGGCCCAACAAATTTTGTTTTTATTTTTTGTTATGTTGTGATGTTTGAACGTTGTAGTTGAGTCAGAGTGTCAGACATCAGGAGCCCGAACAACAACATAAAGGTCGTTTCGTATTCGTGCAGTTGGTGAGAAGGATATTTTAATTTTAAAAGTATAAACGCATCAAATATTATAATTAATAAAAGTTATTATAATTTTTTATAAATTAATTTTTTTTATTTCATTACAAATCTCATTTAGTGTTTTTTTTTAAGATTTTTTCATTTAAATTTTAATAAAATTAATACATTATTTATATTTTATTTTTAATTTTTTTTACAAAAATAATTTTTTTATAATAATTTTTTTCTAACATGATTGCTATTAAAAGCTTCCGTTACACCTAATAACACAAAACCCCACTTCCGTTTTAGCAAATTCATGTAATTCTCGCCCATCTTATAATTCATTTTATCTATATGTATTGGATTTATTTATTTTCTACCCTCAAAGACATAGAATAAAAAATAATTATTAATTAACAATAATTATTTTTTTAAAAGGTATGAAAATTTAAATTTAAAA